GAACATTAGGTAAATATTAAATATTTGTTTAAAGCAAACGATTTTCTCATTCGAACTATCAGTGTTAAACGTACGTCGGCCGTCGGGTGAAAATAAAAGACTTCAGTGATGTAGCGTGTTTCAATTTACGTGTACACACGTGCTATGATAGCTATTGCTCGACCAAAATTTCCCCTCGGCTCGAGCACATTTATCCAGTAATTCTTCACTAAGAAGATATTTATATATCGTGTTCATCTCTAAAAGGTCAATGAGGTTTCAGCGCATAAATTTAGATCAAAGTGTTTAGCCTAATCAATACCTAGGCGAGAACTTGTCCAGGATTCTCCTCGACAATTATCAGTTAGACCCCCACCATAACAAACATCCGTAACAAGCAAAACCGAGCTTTTGCTTGATGCATTTGAGATGCTTCTACTAACTTGCAATTATCCATGACGATAATCCTACTTATATTTGCCTAGAAACGGATGTGGACAATTCCTGCACATTGCCTGATCTAAGAGAACATTGCCGCATGTTAGAAATACATGGGCAATCAATACTCGTGTTAAGGTCGCACCGTACAAGGCTAAAAATTCAGTGTTGTAATATTCTCCCGTGACGCTTGTCTGATAGTCTCTGATGGCGAATTCATTTAGTATACAAAGTGATATATCTACAAAGTGGAATATCATGCACTTTTGAAACGAGAAGATTTGCAAAGATAATCAAACGTATATTAGAATCGTACAAATAAATTATCTCTACCTTACTAAATGAGCTCCACAAAGTAAGTAGAGTGTACAACAAACTCAGTTATTGGCACAGACTTACATATAAACTGCCTCACTGAGTCTCAACATTCTTTCATCCCATGGCCAAAACATTATTTTGGTGTGATTTTCATATCACCTACCCCATGGGAACGTGTGTGTGTGTGTGTGTGTGTGTGTGTGTGTGTGTGTGTGTGTGTGTGTGTGTGTGTGTGATTTGGATTTTAATGTAGCTTTACCAATTTTTCAGTCATATCACTACGGTGTCTGCAGTGTGGCAGAGTATAGTGATGTCTATCAATGGGGCATCATACAGTAGAAAATATAGCATGTCCCACCCAATCACATTATCCTGACACCAGGCCGACCAGTCCTAACACTAACATCTTAATGCTGAGCGCCATTGGAACGGCTGCCTTTGTATAAACGTACATCTGCTTTACATTTTTGCTTACGGTACGTTTTTGCATTGAGCTAAAAATTCTTGTACACGGAATAAATAAATACTAGTATCTTGAATCAGCAAAGTTATGGAGGCTTTACGTCACGATTAACATCACATTTTTGTTACAAAAGTCGATCAATACAACCTATATTTCATGTTTCACTGAATATAGCTAAAATTTATTAATTTACATTGATATAAATATATATTATTACGAGAATTTATAATCTAAACATGTATATGTGTACATATGAATTCACGTGTGTAATAATTGATACATGCATGTACTTGTAAATGAATGCATAATACGTAACCTGGTCATGTTGATATTTCATTCAAACTTGGATGGAGGAAAGGTGAAACTGTTGTTGTTGTTGTTGTTGGGCTTAACTCCATTTTTCAGCACACGATAGGCTATTCATGGCGGCCAGTATTAATGGTGGAGGAAGAAACCGGGAAATCACCGGAAAGAACCACCGACCCACGAGAAGCTACTGGCAAGCTTTCTCACATATCTACATTCGCCGAATCCTAGACTCGAACCCACGCAGACAGAGGTGAGATGGCAGTGATCCGTAACGGACAGCACTTTAGACCACTCGGCCACTCGGTGATATCAAGATGTTCTAAAAGCTCGAGAATTTTCAGACTGATTTCAATTTGAGACTTTGTTCTAAAAATTTAAAACTGTAAGATGCCGTTATACTTCTCAGTCATTAAACATACATATGGCTAATCGTTATTATGTACATTCACAACTCGCAAGCGCTGGAAGAACCCATACATCTAAATAACTTGTGAATTGTGCGCAAAGGCGGAAAATAAAGCATGCATTCCCTAACATCTGTGAAAACAAGAATTTGTTTTCATGAAAGCGCGAAGATCCTAACAAATAATCACAGCTACGTCATTAAAAATTTAACGTCGGGAAGAGATATTTCTATTCTATTTCATTTGTTATATTTACATTTTGACCCTTAAATATAATCCATACAGACTACTTACAAGGCAATTTGGAGCAAATGCTGTTTCGCCAGCGAATCTCGTTGGTAGGGTATGAAAGGTCTTTCACTTGAGAATATGCCGGGAACGCTAAGCACATTCATTCACCTGTGAACCTTTTCAATGGTAAACATATTATTTTACTTGCGAAATTCATTGGAATGGTAAACATTCTATTTCATCTGTGAATCTCGTTCGAATGGTAAACAAGCTCTTTCGCTTGAAAATCTTGTTAGATTGGTGCAAAGCTATTGCATCTGCGAATCTCTTTGGAAACGTAAGCAAACTCTTTCACTTGCGAAGATCGCTGGAATGGTAAACAAGCTCTATAGCTTACGAATCTTTTTGGAATGGTAAACAAGGTCTTTCACTTGAGAATCTCGTTAGAAGGGCACAAAGCTATTTCATCTGCGAATCTCTTTGGAAACATAAGCAAGCTCTTTTACTTGCGAAGATCGCTGGTATGGTAAACAAGCTCTATCACCTACGAGTCTCTTTGGAATGGTAAACAAGGTCTTTCACTTGAGAATCTCGTTAGAATGGTACAAAGCTATTTCATCTGCGAATCTCTTTGGAAACGTAAGCAAGCTCTTTCACTTGCAAATATCGCTGGAATGGTAAAAAAGCTCTATCGCCTTCGAATCTCTTTGTAATGGTAAACATGTTCTTTCACTTGCGAAACACACTGGAATGGCAAACATCCTCTTTCACATATGAATCTCGTTGGAATGGTAAACAAGCTCTTTCACTTGCCAAATTCATTGGAATGGCAAACATCCTCTTTAATCTGTGAATCTCGCTGAAATGTTAAACAAGCTATTTCACTTGAGAATTTCATTGGATTGGCAAACATCCTCTTTCGTCTGTGAATCTACTTGGAAATCTTAACAAGCACTTTCATTTGAGAAACTCGTTGGAATGGTAAGCAAGACTACATAATAATAATTCATACAAGACTTCAACATATAAGTCATGTAGGTTAAAATGGATGAAACCATAATCCTCCATTTTGTGGCTTCTAGATCTGATTTCGTCAGCACTCTATTGTACAAAGCATATAAGGGCCAATAACTCTTGCACACTATATTTCAACTTAACGAATAATGTTCTAGTAAACGATGTTATCGTTTTACAATTTATCTGGATATATTCTGGACTGCAATAGTAACTTAAATCAAAGAACGGACTGCTTCGTCATTTTTCCGTAACCACGATGTCTGAAGTATTCCGTCTATTTGCCATAAAACTACAATGGCCATGTCAAATAAATTTTCTTGTTTGAGAAGACTGGCACCAAGAAACTGAAACCACAATGAGAAAATTTATCTTGTTTGGGGAGGTCATTGAATTTAAGGCAAATATATTTTGTTTTGTACATTCAATGATTATTGTCCCATCCTAAATGCTTAGGATTCTTGCATCTTCTAAAAGTTGTAATCGTATTTACGAAACTGTCCTTAAAATGACATGTTAATGGGTGCTAACTTTATTGGTTCAAATGAGTCTTTTTCAACCAATTTCAGAACTAAAATAAAAATATGAATTTTATTTTTGGAAGATTAGAATTAAAAACAACTTTAATACTACCGATGACGCATAGATGTTGAAACAATGACCCACTGATCCGTTTTCAACCTGGTTTAGCAAATATTTCAGCATAGAACGATAGCACGCTCTTGTTTAATATTGCATCCCACTAGTAAGCGTATTTAAAAGACAATCTACCCAGGGGTACACAATACGTTGATCGCAAAGGTAATGTGAGTAAATCGCGTAGCATTACAAAATAGACATCAACCTATATATGTTTTGCGTCTTTGTGGTAGGTAGATCATTTTGGTTTGGTCATTTTATAAGCAGCTTGCATGCTGAAAAAGAATTTGCACCCCTGATCTACCCCATGGGACAGTTACAAAGTAAGGATACATTTTTATTATGCTTCTTCAATCACAGAACGTTTACTGGTGAATTATTTTTGCGCAACATTCCTAGACAAGGCGGTGAGCAACTTTCAATATTTTTAGAAAAGTCTTGTCTCTGGAATCTCTATCGAATGCATCCACGAAGTTATGCTGAAAATGTCTGCGCTCTGGTGATAAGTCAAGCTTTTGGCTGAGACAAAAGGTGTGAGAAGGCGTACCTGACAGGTATACTAAACTTATCTGGGGATGATCTGTGTACCAGTGCTTTATGAACCATAAAAATGACGCTTGAACAGTCGCGCTTGATTAGCAGTTTGTCCCATGTAATTGATGTTCAAAACTTGTCTCATAGTCAATTAAGCTTCCCCAGTTTCAAGACAGTGCTAATTCGTTTATTTCGCAAGCAACTGTTTTCGTGGTTTTATGAGAAACGATACTTTCGTACGTACTTGGATTCGTCGATATGGTAAGGAGTTCTGTTGTACCTCTTAATAATTACCGCTGGACCATACAGTTGTGGATTTGTACCAACCACAAAACACGAAAATTGGTACCCCACAGTAGGGTATGTGTTGTTGCTGTTGACTGCTCGACTAAGAGCTATGAAATAATTTATTCCCTTCCCAACCTTTCTGTCTTCGAAACATATGGCATGCGTTATGGTAATTGATGTTAGGGATTGTTGTTGAGATTAGCCTATCATAATGATGATGAGTTTGATATGTTGTATAGTGACGATACAAGCTTTCGAAGTCGGAGAATATGGTTTCGTGAACTACGTGTTTGGCTGAATCGATCTCATCATATGGAAGACTAAATCTAATCAATTATATTTATGATGGTCATAAGCCCGATGTTACAACAAAAATCCTAACCGCTCCGGTGGCCAAGTGGTTAGCGCGTCCGCCTCTGATGCGAGAGGTAGTGGGTTCGATCCCCGGTCGAATCATACTAAAGACTTACAAAAATGGTACTAACAGCTGCCTCGCCTGGCGCTCAGTATTAAGATTTTAGTGTTATGAATGGTCGGCCTGGTGTCAGATAATGTGACTGGGTGGGACATCATGCTACATGTCTGCGGCATGATGCCCCAGTGCTAGACATCACTATAAACTGTCACAATGCAGACATCGTAGCGATATGACTGAAAAAATTGTTACAGCTACGTTAAAAATCATAATCACATAATCATAACAAAAACTTGACTAGCAAATGCATGAACACTTAAAAAATTCTTTACTGTTAGAAACAGCGTGTCTCTGCTGTCCGGGGTTAGGTCATTGTATCTGTTCTCCAATGAAGGTAGATATACTGGTCTATCGCAGAATCTTTCTATTCTTGGAACGTGCCACGGTACTTTTTCACTGTGCCAGTATATCCGTAGGTTCCGTACGTATGGAATGTTTGGAAATTCCCGAGCAAATTTATTACGACTTTAATTACAAATTTAGCATGTTTTCATTTAATATGACAAAATAATTAAAATGTTATTATTATTATTATTATTATTATTATTATTATTATTATTATTATTATTATTATTATTATTATTATTATTATTATTATTATTATTATTAATACAAAGTAGTGATATCTGTCATAAAGTAATCTTGGATATTAAAAATAAAATTGTTTTATTGTATGATCTTTTAATCACATGGGTTTGAATATATGGGATGTTGTGACATATATTCAGGCTAGATCCAGCTTTTGGAAAAAAATTCGGATTAAAACAAGAAGCAAAATTATGTTATTTTTTTAAATTTATTTATTAGGGTATGCTAATATATTAGGTATATGTATTCCTTTTTAAGACTGCAAATCATCCAATGGTGTTCATGAGAGCTATTATTTTGTGTTTGAGGTTTATGATATTTCTCGAGTCCGCATACTATTTTGTCGTTTCGTGAGTGTATTTATGTTTGCTGGTCCTCTCTGTTAAGTATTCTACCCGGGTGCCACTCAAAGTTGGCCTTCTTATTATATTCATAGAGCGGTTTGTTAATTGTAAATACAGTGTCAACTCTTCAAGTTTCATCAATACGCTCTACAAAGTCAGTACAAAGTCTTTCAAATGGTGTTAGCTAGAGTGTAGGATTAATCATGCATTTTTTGTTTACAGTTTTCAGAACTTACACAACAATTGGCATTCACACAGCACATTCTGCTATGAAGTACCGAAAATTTAATTTTTGTTTTTTAAGAGCTTCGATTTTATAGTGAACTAAAATATTTTCTTTTCTTTTATCTCAATTATTTTTTTCTCGATTAATATAATGGAGATGATTTGATGATGTATTGTTATATACCAGGGCTAGTTATTTTCCATATACTTAGAGACGGAAATTTTCATAAAAGAAACTGGCAGGCCCCTACGCTAGACAATGGAATTGTTGGTCCCAGATATATATGCGTTATACTGTGGTACGTCCCGGGTATGTTCGAAAATACCTCGGAACAAAATGATTCATGGGAGCTCCGGTGGCTGAGTGGTCTACGGCGCTCATCTTTACAGATTAGTTACATCGTCTATGTCCATGTGGATTCGAGTGTCTGACTCGGTGAACGTATGTATCTGAGAAAGCTTGCCAGTATGTGACAAAAGCTTCTCGTGGGTCGATGATTCATCCAGGAGTTTCTCCGGGTTTTTCATCGACCAGATGTACTGGCCACCGTGTTTAGCATATCGTGTTCTCAAAAGATGGCGTTAAGCCCATAAAACCAACACCAAAATGTTTCGTGGTATCCAGTTCTACTACTCAGATACGTTAATGATTGAATTGGAACTATCCTAGAGTTGTCTTTCTTTATGACAAACACTAGTGAATAAAAAAACCCCCTCTAGTTACAAGAGTTGTCTTTCTTTATGACAACACTAGTGAATCAGGTGGCGCTCTACAGCATCGTATTTAGCATTTATTTAGAAATTTAAAGAAATTTAAAGAAAAAGAATTTCCCCGGTTTCCTCACTAGTCATACTGGCTATTTAAAAAAGAATGTATATCTTAGGTATTTTTTTTTAAAGAAAGAACCAATAATTCCCTTTATTTTGGTGTATGATTGGTGCGTGTAATATGGGTTATAGAGTATACAGCTTGGCCTTACTCCAGGTGTGCATCTTTCAAAAGAGTGCTAGCTCCACTTGCTCATTTTCACTTCCTGAACCTTAGACGTACATTGTAAAAAAAAAGAAGCCGATAACTTGTTTTTTACATTTTATATATTTGGTAATTCATTCATTGCACTTTTAGAAGGTGGTATTGTCTAGTCTGGCAAAATTCATTTTTCCTATTTTAACAGCCGCCAAGGATATTGTACCTTAGACAAATTCCGACTGAGTTTTGGAGCACAAGTGAGCAGTCATTTTAGTTAGCAGCATTCTAAAATCATTTACAATTTCCAAAAATACAATATCCAAAGAAATGTCAGCCACATTACATCAAAATAGCACAGGTGTTTTGCAGTGTTTTTTTTTTATTTAAAAAAAATATTTAGGCTACTCTCCGATACTGCAAACTTCCTTCGAATTATTGTAGTATGCTTCTGTGCAGCCCAACTTATCCAAAACCTTTTTTTTGACATGTAATACCATTCCTGCTCTGCCCACCTAATCCAAAGGCTATAAAACATCTGCTCAGCAATCCTGGTCCAAAGACTCAGATGACATGCAATAAAACATCTGCTCTGCCCACCTGGTTCAAAGACTCAGATGACATGCAATAAAACATCTGCTCTGCCCACCTGGTTCAAAGACTCAGATGACATGCAATAAAACATCTGCTCTGCAATCCTGGTCCAAAGACTCAGTTGACATGCAATAAAACATCTGCTCTGTCCATCTGGTCCAAAGACTCAGCTGACATGCAATAAAACATCTACTCTGCCCACCTGGTTCAAAGGCTTAGTTTACATGTAATACTCCCGCACTAGCCGGACTTTATTATCAATATTCACCGCTGGACCTCTGGGGTTATTTAAAGAAACATTGCTAATATGGATTCCATGTAGGTCACATAAACAAATACAGTAATGCAACTTGATATTGTTAAGCTAAACGTTTAATTGACGCTACTGGCTGTTTGTATTTGGTGTTCCTTGCACCAAGCTTTAGCTACTTACTTTCGATCTTAAATTCTAACAAAATCATTGATTTCAAAATGTCTTATGACCTGGAGTCTAGTAGAAATTCTGCGAAAATCGTGCACGAATAACGATTTTTATTTTTCCTTATAGACAGTAAGTCTTTATGAAATGATAGAAAGCTAAACAATTCATTTCTTGTTGTCCAGACCGATGGGAGAGCGTGTCATTATTCATCAAACGCAAGGGAGAAAACTCAGAATGATCAAGAATCAATTTGTTTCCAGCGATATCAAAAGCCTACCTTCAATAGAAGAGCTGCTTGCATCCGAAGTACACGACCAATGTCCTGTTCTTTGCTCTGTTGGTTCTTGAAAAAGACATATTTTTCTCTAATTTCTATTCAACTTTCCGCACTAAAAGAGAAATGCGATTTTCCAAACATTCTTTAGTCGCTTTAGCAGTACTCTTGGAAGTTCGTGTTTTCGACAACGTGATGGATTTTGGAACACATAAATGTTGTGATTGTCAGAAGCGCAATTTACGAGCACTACGCGCAGACGCTCTGTCGTCTGCTATGATCGATTGTTTGGCCACTTCTTTATACAGTCGAAAACATTTCACAAAAGTTTCTACCAAGTACGAAGCAAATATTTTCAAACCAAAGCAATAAGTTCGCAAATGCACAACAAGTACATCCGACCACAGAATCACCTCATTCTCGGTGAACTATTTCGTGTACGCCACCATCATCACGTGACATATATAAATGCTCAGCATATTCACAAAAATATTGTACAGATTTAAAAGATTTCTGACAATCTCTAGAGAAGGCTTTTAAGATATATATATATATATATATATATATATATATATATATATATATATATATATATATATATATATATATATATATATCCCCAATTTATTCTAAACATTTAAAACAAATAATGTCTACATTTTAAATCGCAACAAGTGAACGGTGCAAAAGGGACACTACTCCAATATGTGGATTCGTAACAAGCAAATATTCGCCCTTTGAGGTCTCATGATTTTTTGAAATTTATTTACTTTGGGTTGTTGTTGTCTTCTCATTTTTGTTCACAAGCCCATTGCTTGTTTTTGTTTCTCTATTACATCCATTTAATTATGTTATAGATCAACTAAATGTACATCAACTAGATTGCATTTTAAGTTTATACATAATAAGAAACCATTTCTTGATAGATGGATAATCTTTATTGGCATACATCAGGTGTGTTCAACTGAAACATCACATAAATTCCAGGTTTATTGTATCCCATTTTAAAGTTTCGTTAAAAATCGAAACACAAACACATGTAACTTCCGATGTCAATTATCGAGAAAACGTCGTTGCACACGAAACATTTTACATTATTAAAACATAACAGCATTCCAAAACAAAGAAAAATAGAAAAACGGTGGTCATTTTCAACCTTTAAAGTCAGGTGAACAAAAGGTAAAATCATGCCATTCTAGAATGTGACAAAAATTAAGACCTAATTCTGCAAGTTTTAAAAAAAATATATGGACATTAAAATAAACTAACATGAACCAATATCAAATATACCTCACAAGAGACATAGAACAAGGATCGTTGTTTCCGAACCTCAAGGGACAAATATATTGATAAATAACGGAAAACAAGATGTGAATGCACAACAGCACAAACGTAACATAAAAATCATTTTTTTTTTCTTTCCTATCAAGTTTATAATTAGATCTTTGACTGCACCAGCGCATTAATTTAACTTCGTTCTGGATTCTTGCATAGATTGATCAACACAGCTGGATAAAATAAATTTTGCTATATAGCATGAATTTTCTCTATGCCTGGAATCTTTGTGT